CAATGTGATGGTCATCTCACCAAAAGGCATGTGAAAGGTGTCCATTTCGGGATGTCACATCTTAACGAATATAGATACCACAATCTTATCTGCATTATGATAAGAACTCCTAATAAGTTGCTCTAATCCAGACCTTTGAATGTACCCTTTGAATATACCATTATTTGAATTAGCCCGCCAATTCCACTCACTAAGGGTAGATGTCTTTGACATGCACCTAAGGGGTTCATGTTCCTAGTAAAATAGAGAAAAAAAAAAGGTTAATTACCATGAACCTGACTTATATTCTGCCTTCTATTGTTACAGTAAAAAAACTTACTTGGTTATTCCAAATTGCAGCTGCTATGTGAGTTTTAAAACTCGTAAGTGAAGATGGATCATTGGGACCTACTCGAGATGGCTCAATAGACTCAACATCAACCTCAACATTACTATCATGAGCAGTAGCATCCAACACCTCTATCATTCCACCAGTTTTCGGCACCTCCACCTTTGCACAAGCTTCTGGCACCTCCATCATTCCACAAGCTTCCGGCACCTCCATCCTTCCACAAGCTTTCGTCACCTCCATTTTTCCACAAGCCGCAGTCCCCACCCTACAGCACAGTATCGGCCCAACCGAGTAGCACCTTCTAATCCACTTGATGCAGCTCCATTTGAGCCAATCCAGCCCTTGCTCCACACATATTCCAGAAGACCTCGCATAATCTATGGAACCTGCGCAAGCACCGCTAGTCCTTGCTCCCCTTGCCTCTACGGACCCAGCTCCTCCACCACCTATTGAACCAGCGCCTGCTCATCCCATGCGCACACGTCTGCTTGATGGCATCTTTCAACCTAAAAACCGCACCAAAGGCACGGTTCAATACCAGGTCCCTCGTGCTTTTTTAACTGTCATTGATGATGTTGAACCCACTTGTTTTTCTCAAGCTTCCAAACATCCTGCATGGCGCGCGGAAATTTCTGAAGAAAGCAATGCCTTGCTGCAAAATCAGACTTGGTCTCTTGTTCCTCCATCTCCCACACATACTCTAGTCGGTTGCAAATGGGTCTTCCGCATTAAGCGTCACTTTGATGGCATTGTTGAACACTACAAGGCCTACCTAGTGGCTAAGGGATTTCATCAACGCCCTGACATTGACTACTTTGAGACCTTCAGCCCTATTGTCAAACCAGCCACAATTCGCAATGTTCTTAGTCTTGCTGTTTCCCGCCGGTGGTCTTTACGGCAACTTGATGTCAAGAATGCCTTCCTTCATGGGTTCTTTCAAGAAGATGTATATATGGTCCAGCCCCTTGGTTTTGTGAACCTTTCTCATCCTACTCATGTCTGTAAACTTCACAAGTCTCTTTATAGCCTCAAACAGGCTCCGCGTGCATGGTTTAATTGTATCAGCACCTTCATATTATCCATTAGTTTTTCAAGAAGTTTGGTAGACTCTTCACTTTTTATCTTTCAGCAGGGATCCCACACCATCTTTCTTCTCATGTATGTTGACGACATTGTGATTACTGGCAATGATTCCTCTCTTTTACAGAATTTTATATCTCTTTTGAGCTGCCAATTTGACATGAAGAACTTTGGTCCTTTTAGTTACTTCTTGGGTTTACAGGTTGTTTCTCATGATGGTGCTCTTCATCTCAATCAACTCAAGTATGTTCTTGATTTGTAGGAATGCCTAAATAGATGACACATCATCCAATGTGATGGTCATCTCACCAAAAGGCATGTGAAAGGTGTCCATTTCGGGATGTCACATCTTAACGAATATAGATACCACAATCTTATCTGCATTATGATAAGAACTCCTAATAAGTTGCTCTAATCCAGACCTTTGAATGTACCCTTTGAATATACCATTATTTGAATTAGCCCGCCAATTCCACTCACTAAGGGTAGATGTCTTTGACATGCACCTAAGGGGTTCATGTTCCTAGTAAAATAGAGAAAAAAAAAAGGTTAATTACCATGAACCTGACTTATATTCTGCCTTCTATTGTTACAGTAAAAAAACTTACTTGGTTATTCCAAATTGCAGCTGCTATGTGAGTTTTAAAACTCGTAAGTGAAGATGGATCATTGGGACCTACTCGAGATGGCTCAATAGACTCAACATCAACCTCAACATTACTATCATGAGCAGTAGCATCCAACACCTCTATCATTCCACCAGTTTTCGGCACC